TAACGTTTCGCCAGTCTCTGTGGCCGGCATCTTCAGAGGACAGCACTCTGTGCTCTGGTGTAGTTGGCTTGGGAGTATTTATGGCTGTGAGATGGGCTTTTGTTTTTTTCTGTAGGTGGGTGATTAGTGTGTCTTGTTGTGGGTGTATTGTTGTGATAAGAAGGAGAGATTATCTGTCACTGTGGTTGATGGGTGTCATTAGCTGGTCTTTTGTGTGTAGTGATCCCCGGTCCTTGTGGTTGGGTAGAATTCATTGACCTTTTGCACACTGTATTTTTGAGAGCTGGGAGCCAATTTTTGTTGAGTTTCAAACTTTCATCTTTTTTGTGAAAGTTCTGCTGGTGCTTGTGGATTTCAATGGCTTCCCTGTGCAGTCTGACGTAATGATTACTGGTGTTGTCCAGTATTTATCTATCTATCTATCTATCTATCTATCTATCTATCTATCTATCTATCTATCTATCTATCTATCTATCTATCTATCTATCTATCTATCTATCTATCTATCTATCTATCTATCTTTATTTATTTATTTATTTAACTTACAACACACTTGGTAAATGTGCTGTTTAACAAAAAATTGTTAAACAGCACATTTGCCAAGTGTGTTGTAGGTTTTTCCCCATATTCCAAAGGATGGGTCAAATCTTCAGCATAAATACAAAGCTTAATTCTCTTTTCCAAAAGATAAGAGACATGTTTATATATTTGAAAAGATATTGTGTAACAATTTTCTGTAACCATCTCTGCTGACATGGTGTTCTCTAGAACTGTAACCATCTCTGCTGACATGGTGTTCTCTAGAAACTTATATTTTGAGCTTGTGATAGATAGAGAGAGAGAGAGAGAGAGAGAGAGAGAGAGTTTGTCACCTTGTGATATATATACATATATATATGTATGTGTGTGTGTGTGTATGTATATATATGTATATAGTTTGTCAGCTTGTGATATGATACAGTCTAGAGAGTGTTGCATTATGAGAGGGTTTAGAATATGTGAATCAGAGGAAGTGTGATAACTTAATATTTACTTCCTTTCTAGGTGAGCCATTCTTTTAAAAATATTTGGAAAAGCATTGGCTTTTATTATTAGTGCCATGTATGACAATGTGTTAACAATATTTCTCATATTCTAAAAGTTACTCATAAAACTCATCTTCAAGTACACTATAGTATATACAGTTAGCTTGATTTCAGTTTTACAGTTTAAAAAAATCTAAAGGATTTAATTGAACATTAGGCAGAATTGACAGTTGATTTCTACAATTAAAGCTGAAAAGCATTTGTTTTTAAGCAGCTGCAAATTTAACATTCATGTCAATCCATTGTACTTAAGTCACTAATTATCAAATAGTGAATGAGATTCGTGTGTACATGACACAATGCAACCAAAATACAAGTGTGGTAATTTGGAGAGAGTGTGGAAGACTAGCAGAACATCTGAACAGTGTTTCATCTCCACGACTGAGGCTTAACATGCTACATGTGCCTCGGGAATATCTACATGAAAGGGGAAGATTTTATATGATGACTAGATTTTGAGGCCATGTGCCAAAATAAGTCATGTTTTGCTGTGTTGCACTAATGATGAGTCGTGATAGTGCTAGCCTTCAAAATCCTGAGTACAGGATATATATAATTAATTGCAACACACCACCTACAAAGTAGCTATTACCACATTCCACTGCACTGGCTAGATGAGAAAAACAGATTGCATGAGACAATGGTGCAGCTCTCAGCCTTTTTTCTGAGGCCTCAACCATTTCACTGGTCTTGTCCTGATTTTATTTCTTAGAGCCTGACTATATAGGTGTCTAGTCCATTGAAGGAAGTGGAAGTTCATTCCTAAATATGGTGATCAGACCACCATCTTAGGTACGTGTATTAGGTATGTATATCTAACACACATACCTAACTTATAATACACATACCTAATACCATTTTTAAAGTGATACAGCACATATTTGCTGCTCTAATACAAACTTGGAAAAAAATCATGTTCTTGGCCTTTCTATGGAGACAAGGGAGTGTTTGTCAATATCTTGGAGTAGCTCTTTTACTAAGCTGCTTTATGATCCTGGCAAACTGACAGCAGGTTGCTGTGGACCAAACAGGCTTGAGGTCGGTATGAGCCTGTCCACACTGTGAAATTTGATGTGATCCAGCCTATGCATAAAATATTCTTATATTCAGTGCAATCTATTTTAACTCTTGGTACCTGTCTGGGAAGGCTGAACAATGAGCTATTTTGCATCTCAATAAATAATCCCAAAAAGATTGCATGCCCTAGCCCTGTGCCAAAAAGATAAAGGGGAAGGATGGATCATTTTAAATAGAAGCATAAGCGGACAAGGTATTTTCCCCCCCATGTTAAACAATGCTATCAGGGAACCATATATGATAACTATATGCCAGTGTGGACAGGCTCAGTGCCATTTGGGTGTGAGGATCACACCCATTGGCATATTAGACCTCCTAGCAACTCTATTTAGCCTGCTCCAGCCCATACCAATTGCCACATGTAGACGAGCTCTCACTGTGTAACACCATAACTGATCACAAAATGATCTGCCAGCTACTTAATATATGTTACCTATGCAATTATTTTCTCTCTCTTTTGTCACAATTTGCACTCATCATTTGAGACCTGTTTGCTTAAATGTAATGTTCTGCTGCATGAGAGCAGCCTTCTTGTATAGCTGAGGAGCGAAGATTTTATTCCACATTGTACAAAGTTAAATGATACTTTCTCAATGCAACAGCTGTATGACTCTGGCCAGCCTTTATGAAGAAAAAGCAGAGCTCATTCTTATTCTAGCTCATACTGTAGACAGACACATAGATAATGGAGGTTCCTATCTTAGAATAGGAAGGACAGATCCTGAAGCGGAGGCTCCAATACTTTGGCCATCTCATGAGAAGAGAAGACTCCCTGGAAAAGACCCTGATGTTGGAAAAGTGTGAAGGAAAGAGGAGAAGGGGACGATAGAGGACAAGATACAGTAGTTGGACAGTGTCATCGAAGCTACCAACATGAATTTGACCCAACTCCGGGAGGCAGTGGAAGACAGGAGGGCCTGGCATGCTCTGGTCCATGGGGTCATGAAGAGTCGGACATGATTTAACAACAAATCTCAGAAACAAAATGGTTCATCTGATCCAAGTACTTTTTCTGCATTACTACAATAAATGGAATCTCCTCAGTTGAATTTGTTAATACTTGTAGGATGGCAACATATTCTTAGGAGTGTCAAATAAACATTTTCAAAATTAGAACAGTTTTTATTTGCAAGAGACAACTTTGTGATGGAGTATGTGTTTTGCATGACAAAAATGCTGAGCTCAACCCCAGTGTGGCATACTGGCTACAGTGTTGACAGTGGGAGGTGGGAGACTGTTGGATCAAATGCCCCCTGAACCATGAAATTCACTGGATATCTTTAAACCAGCCTGACCTCCCTTCCAGGATTGTCCTGAAGTTGAAATGGGCAGGAGAGCCATGCACACTACTTCAAACTCATTGGGAGAAATGAAGGGCAAAAATGTGACTAAAGGATAACAAACTCTCCAGTTATAAGGATCTCCAACAAGCAAGGAGTCAAAAGACATACGCTTATAATCCTGCAGTATCACTGCAAGTTACAAGAGGCACTACTGGGCTAGAGAGGGAAGAGTGTTTGTGGAAAAGGTTACAACATTGAAGCTTTTTAGTTTGGGAAGGAAAACGGGTGTGAAAAGTTCTCTTACAGTTAAAACCAATTGACAATCCTTGGAAGAGTACAGTAAATATCTCCCAGGCTCTTCCATTCCTGTCTCTGGTAAATCACCCTCACTTGTTTCTGGAACTCTGGAACTTGTCTTCAGGCAGTATCAGTATGAAAACTAGCAGTGTCTACCCAGGACTCCCATAATAAAAATATGACAGCACAAAAACATGTACTGTATATAATTATGTCAACGTGCACCTTTTATATTTTGTTTATTATTACAGAAACTAAGTAGAATCATCCCAAAACACTGATGGTGTTCCATATTCCTTCTGCAATATTTTTTAATATTCATCTCACTTCTTCATGGTATAGCCAGAGCTACTATTTCTGTAGCAGCAAACCCTTATGTGCAGCTATGAAAATTATCTTCTTAACAGTGCATCTCTCCATGGCAGAATATATGAAATTCCACTGTTCTGACATATTAAAAATCACCAGATTGATTTCAGTGTAAGGTTTCACAGAGCGCAAAGAATGTCTGAAGAAATGGGTTTTATGCCACAAAAGATCACATTAAAATAAGTGATTCTTTCAAGCACCATATCCCTTTTGTTTTTATACTGTATTTGTTCTGCATGCTGAAGGAGACAGCAAACAAGGCAACTTTCTTTTCTAACAGAGCTCCGCCTATCTTCGGCCATGATCCTTTCCTGCCCAGCCTCCTGACCCTTGTAAGGAAACGGGCTACCTGGATTAGATAGTGTAGTCCAGTGGTTCTTAACCTTTGTTACTCGGATGCTTTTGAACTGCAACTCCCAGAAACCCCAGCCAGCACAGTTGGTGGTGAAGGCTTCTGGGAGTTGCAGTCCAGAACTCCTGAGTAGCCCAAGGTTAAGAACCAGTGGTGTAGTCCTCCAGCAGAACTATTCTTACGTCCTTAAGCTCTAGACAAGCCTCATCACATAAAAAAAAGCAACCGCAAAATAGGTGCCATTTTAAAACGATTTACCAACATCCCTACCCCACTATAATCCTTCATTTACTACTTTAAATAAGTCAGGAAGGACAATTACATTTCAACTATTCAAGTGGGTATATATGTATCCCAATAAGTGGGCTACCCAGACGTTCGACTTAATTTGGTTTAAAAATCGAACCTCTCTGAACTCCTTCGGTTTCTTCCGCCTTCCCCCCCCCTTCAATTGCTGTGTCCCGCCTTTCTTGACCCGCCCTCCCCGAGCTATACGAAAGGCGCCTGCGCGTTGCTAAGGCGGTTCTCAGGGGGCCTTCTATTAGTTGTTTATGCGCTCTCGGAGTAACCGTCTTCTACTTCCTGTCAGGCGTGACGGTGCGCTGTACTGTCGCTTCCGGGTCAGATGTTTCCCGGCGGCCGGGCCCTCAGAACTACCGGTTTCGAGAAGCGTCCGGACGAAGGCCGGCTTGAGCCGATGTTGAGGCGCCACCGTTGCCGGCTGGGAGGTCGTGGGGCGGCCGCCGCCGCAGGGAGAAGCGGCTGCCACGGAGCGTAGTGACGGGCCGAGGGGGAAGGGGCAGCCGATGCTGGGCCGGAGCTCGCCATGGATAAGATCCTGGAGGGGCTGGTGAGCTCGTCGCACCCACTGCCGTTGAAGCGCGTGATCGTGAGGCGGGTGGTGGAGTCGGCGGAGACGCCGCTGAGCGGGCCGCAGTGCCGGGCCATGTTCGAGCTCAGCACCCGCCTCATCCTCCAGGGGCCCGACCAGTTCCAGCGCCTGGTCGGGCGGCAGGTGCTCGAGGCCTACGCTCGCCACCACCGCGATGACTTCGAAGCTTTCTTCACGCGCAACCTGGTCCTGGCCTTGCTTCAAGGGGGCGGCCCGGCGTCGCCGTCCCCTCCGACGCCGTCGCCCGGCCTCGGGCCCAACCTGGACCCGGCAGTGCTGGATTACATCCAGACTGGCCTACGCCTGCTGATCAGCTGCCCGGCGGTGCTAGATCTCTTCGCGCTGCTCCAAGAGGAGGCCTTGCGGCTCGTGGGCGAGAGGCCCCCGGCGGCCCTGTGCGCTCGCTTCTGCCAGCTCTTGAGCGATTTCCCGCAGTGCCTGCCTCGGGGCAGGAAGCCTGCGCTCGCCTTCTGCCAGCAGCTGGTGCGCAGCATCGCCCACTTCCAGACGCAGGGCACCCGCGAGGCCGAACTGCGCCTTTACGTCTCCCAAGTCACCCAAGTCAGCAGCCTCCTTCGGAGCATCTGGAAGGCCGAGCCCGACACACTGCTGCCCTCTTTGCAAGAGCTCTTCGCCATCATCTCCTCCACTGGTGAGTTATCCTTTCCTCCTAAAAGCAGTCTGTTTAGGGAGATTGGACTGCCCTTAATTGTCACGCTGAGTTTGTCCTAGCAGAATAAAGAAGTGGACTTAATCACAGTATAGTCAAGTGGCATCATCCCCCCCCCCTTGTATTACACAACTAGCTTCTTTCTAATCCCATCCTAGTCTGCTTTGGAGTGTCTGTAAACAAGATTCAGTTGGTGAGTGAGTTTTGAAGTGCTGAAGTAGCCCCATTGTCTTTAAGGCCGCTGTAGGACTTGTTTAACTGTGGAGCGAATCAAAAGTATGCTATAACGATAATAGTTGAATTGTACCCAATGCAATATGATAGGAAGTGCTAGTGAAGTTATAATTAGAATATTTAGGATCATGTCCAGTTATTAGTCAGCGAAGCTTACCTAAGGCCTCTCATACCAAATTGCCACTATTCTAGTTGGGGCTGACACTAGTTTAGTCCTTAATTGCTGTGTACAATGAGTTACCCCAGGTTGGCCCTTCTGGAGTAGAAGAATCAACTGGTAGATGCTGTTGTTGCCCAGGGGAAGCCAAAATGTGTTCATATTCTTAGGAGTGGTTCCTTCTGTGTCCCCCTATTGGTAAGGCGAAGTCCTGTTGATAAAATCAGCTGCCTTGAAGATATTGCACTCAGTGACATACACAGAGAAATACTCAGCTAATAGTGGATGACTGAAAGCACCTACATCAAACATCCAAGACAAGCAGTCAAAGAAGTTGTTAGTGTGTGTTTGACCTTCTGTGCTGATGGTAAACTGAGCAGGCAACTTAGTTTGAAGGACTTTGAATGGGACCAAGGACAGCTGGATTTAAAAAACATGTAGGTTCTGGTAAGTAGAAGGTGAGAGATCAGTCTTTTCTGAACTGGTGCCCTCCAGATTTGTTAGATGGTAAGGCCTATTACCCTCAGTCATCTAAAGCAGTGGTTCTTAACCTTTGTTACTCGGATGTTTTTGAACTGCAACTCCCAGAAACCCCAGCCAGCACAGTTGGTGGTGAAGGCTTCTGGGAGTTGCAGTCCAAAACTCCTGAGTAACCCAAGGTTAAGAACCAGTGATCTAAAGAGCATCAGATTGAGAAAGGATGTGCTGTGTAAGTGACCTAATTGGTTGTTTTGTGCATTTTCTCTTTGGTCTTTTCATTTTTATTTGGGCCAAGAATCCATGTGGCAGTTGGTACTTGTTGTCTAGCCATGTTTGGGCACAGATCAACAAGCAGCTTGAGTCTCCTTTGACAAGTTCAAGGAGTAGAGGCTCCCTTCATACTTTGCTTTGGGCTAATTATTCTTACTTTTGTAGATGATTTGGAGACTTTTCTGAAATCTCTATTAATATATTATACTATTTTAGTTACATGAATTATATTAATTACACAAGGTATTATTCAATGGTTTCGTGTTTTAGAGTGGTTCATACAGTTTATAGTGGCTTTGCATGGTTTAGAATACACTGAGTGTGTTTTAAGGATTATGTTAGATAACTTCAGATGGAGTGTAGGCTTTAACAAAAACAGATTTTGAGGATCAAATAATCGGTAGCTTATATGATAGTGCTTGTGTAATATAACTTCAGCTGTCCAAGCTGATCACCACGGCATCAGTCCTATAGGACTGGAGTCTTTGAGACTTCCTCATAATAACATGTAAGATTACACTGTTCAAATGTTTCTAATTTTAAAGATGTTGGCATATGCCTTGAGGGTTTTTTCCTGGATCAATCCAAAACATGTTATGTATACTTAGTCAAGTAAATTATTTCCAGTTCCATAGAAGTAGTCAGCTTTTTCTTGCTTGCATATTTTTATGAACAATGCATATCTGGAATAGTAACTGTTCTAACACATATCTGGAATCACACTGTAGAGCAGAAACATTCTATGTGTAGATTGATTGCTCTCGCTTTTATCTTTTCTGGGATGCAGAAGTTGAAATATACTCAGGTCTCCTTTTAGTATATTTTCTTGAAAAGACCTAGCTAGATAAACCAGGTAATTCAGATGAAAAAATACTAGTAATGGACAACATATACATTAGGTGACTTGGATCCATTTTATCTGTGAGCTGAATTCTGACAATGAGTTGCCCTACTAGAATGGTTGAGTGGAGGGGATTTTTGTCAGTTCCCCATTTGCTATCCAGGATTTGCTTTAAAGGCCTGGTGGTACTGGAAGCTCTAGAAGAAATGATGAAAAACATGTTCTCAGCTTCCTCCACTGCTGCTGGATCTTAGCCTCTTCAACAAAATGAAGCAGAAGCCTGGATCCACCCTACTACAGTGGACCCTCGACCTACAGAATTAAACCATATTGGAACGGTGTCCGTAGGTTGAAAAGTCTGTAGCTCGAATATGCATTTCCCATAGAAATGCACTGAAAACCATTTAATCCGTAACCAGCCCAAGAAACCCCCCACCCACAAAAAATTAAAATAAACAGAACTTACCTTTCCGAAGCCTTCCAGGGGTCCTCTATCGCTGCTTCCCGAGGCCTCTGAGGGCTTCCTCACTGCTGCCGGAGACCTCTCGGAGGTCCCTTGCTGCCACCATCACCACTGCGAGGCCTCTCAGAGGTCCCCCGTCGACGCAGGCTTTCCCAGGGTGGATCGGACCTACCAGGGGAGGGCTTTCCCCAGTAGGCCGGTCTACTGCCTGGGAAAGCCTGGTAGACCGGGCCTACCGGGGGAGGGCTTCCCCTGGAGGCCCGGTCCATCCTGGGAAAGCCTGCGTCGG